CGGGACGGAGCACGCCGGGTTCTCACCGGACCAGGCTCTCACATCACCAAGCGCGAAGCGCCGTGAGGTATTTGGCGAGTCGCATGAAGGGTGAGCTGCATCCTGCTAAGGGTGTTCGGCATCTTGTGCTTACTTCCTTGCGTACGGATGACAGCTACGTATGACTTAATTTATTTTCTGGTGCTTTAACTTCCAGAGACAGTTGTAAGCACTGTGTAACTGCCTCGAGGATGCTTGACCAATTTAACACAACGTGGTGCGATCATCCCCCGTTGCGCGGAGTGACGGTTCTCCACCCCGCACAACATGATCTACTCGACCACCATTATGTTTACCGCCAAAAAAAAAAAAACGAGGTAAAAAAAAAAACGGTGACCTGGTTGCCGAGTTCACGAAGTGAATTGGCTTGTTTTACAACGTCATTGCCAAGCGACGAAAACCCAATCCCGATGGCAAACACCGAGGGGGGGGCTTGTTTTACAACGTCGTTGCCAAGCGACGAAAACCCAACCCCGATGGCAAACACCGGGGGGGGGTAGGGGGGGGGGGTTCGAGGGAGAAGGCAATGTGCACCATATTGGGGGAGAAAACTTTATGGCATGTTCTTCGACTGCTTCCGAGTCAACCCCCGTCGTGTGATGCCCTTTGCTTGTTTTTGACGAAAGTGTCCTATTTGGTGTTGTACCTGTTGAGAGTTCGCCCACCATGCGGTCTACATGTAGAAATGAGTACATGCACTCACAGAAACACTACAGCGGTGGGGGGACGTCGCCAACGCCGGTTGATAAGCGCCGGCTGCCCCTGTATACAATTGTAGCGCCGGTGAAATTGCTGGGCACAGGCTACTGAATCACCAAGTCATTCTGTACATTGGATAGCGCCGGTAGATGCGCTGGGAACATACCAAAGGTTGCATACGTAATATACCACACACCCCTGGACCGATTTTCAAGCTCGAATATTCTGCAGCAGAAACAGCGACGGTGACGGAAATGGCGCCTTTGGAACCGTCTCTTCGAGATCTTTTTCGAACACGCATCAGTACGTAGGCTCTTGAAATCCTCGTTGCGGTTGGGTTATCGGGTTTTTTGAATCCATCCAGGGGGGTGTGGTATCATGTGCAATCTACGGGACCCCAATCGAAGGGATGTGTTGAAGTATTTAGTCTTTGCAGAGAATGGCGAAAGGAACCTGCTGGATTCTGGGCTTATTTTTGAGCCAGTAAGAAGATGAGGTACGGCGATACACTCGGGGTTATTATTATTACTGTGCGAGGAAGAGCTCTCTGCATAACATCGTGTATCGTTCCTGCTGTAACGCTCTAGTCTACCCTGACAACATTCAAAAAAGCGAGAGCTCTCAAGCACCGTGGGTGGGGGAGTACCCACAGGCGAGGACCTCCGGCCGTGGCCAGAGGCCCCACCTGTTCCAACAGTTACATCAAATGAACTTCTCCGAGGAAGAGAATACCTTAGGGATACTGCTGTACGCACACGCGTTCAATTCGACGGACGGTGGAAGGAAGGGCTCTCTCTCCTCTCAACAGAGAGAGCGTTTGAATTTTCGAAAATAAGCGTGTGCCGTTGTTCCCTCCCTCGGTGGGAAAACACAGCAGAGCCTCTTTCGGAGCTCATGCAGCCCATGCAAGTTAGTGGACATCAACCCAGGTTACGAGATCCTTCTCCTGCGCATGGTTCAGGCCACGAGCACCTTCTCCTGGGTGCAGTGCAGTTGATACGTCGCTGCCCGTGAGAGGTGGTCCGAGGCGACACATGTTTCACATCTTTTGTTGAAATTTGAAGTTTGCTGTGAGCTGGGAACCACAGCTGGCCACGATCCGTGTAATTACGGACGAACACAATATTGCTCGCTCACCTGCCCTGGACCAAACCGTGTGCGTTGTTGTGAAGAGGGGAGGCGTGGGGTATGGGTGTGCTGAGCGGCTGTGCAGTGTCTGGTTGTGCTGGTGTAGCCAGCCAGCGGCCCAAGAGCAGACGCGGAGCGGCCTGGGTAGGGGGCCAAAAGATAGTGAAGATCCCCTCCCTGTTCCGCACGCGTGCATACCATTGCGCGCCCCCCGAATCTTTTTGATCTCGCCTGACACATGAATGTAGCTGTAGAGTCTACACCACACGAGCTTGCGCCGCTGTACGCAAAACACCTATTTCATTCTTTTACAGCGGTACCAGATTCGAAGTAACCTACCAAGACGCCACACACATCTTCACCATTACTCTCAAGTCTACCTTCACCAGTAGTATAATAATAAATAGTAGTCTCAGATCAAAAAAGCACGTGGCGGTTTCATGATACCTCAACGGTCGATGGTTTGGATGCATGTGCGATATTCTGCTTACAAAAGCATCACACCCTGTGCTTGCTGCGGGGATTATTCAGCGCGTCAAGCGCACGATACATGGAATGTGTGTGGACAACTTCTCGACATGAAATAATGTGGGCCGCCAACGTTTCGAGACCTCGAGACCTTGTTATTTAGTATTAGCTCTTCCCATCAACGGTGGCTGAGTGGTTCAGTTGGCAACCGGGCAACCTTCTGACATTTAGGAAGTGGATTTTGAATCTCGGCGCAGCTAACCACGAACTGGGATTTTATCCCACAAGGTATACGCGCAACGTGGTGTGCACCTAACTACTACTGTAACTGGTTCTGGTGTGTACGCATCACAGTAACGACATCATCACGGTCGATGATCGACAGGGAAGAATGGCTGACATCCTTCAAGCAAGCGCCAATAAAACTTATGGCAAGCAAGCACCGCCGCGGACGGAAGGGAGAGAACCAAAAAAATCCTCCGTGGCCTTCCTCCTGTGTGACCCCGGATGATGGTCCTCACAGCACGAAAATCTGGAGGTCCGCACCCTCAAATAAATGGGTCGACACCCACACTTGACACGAAACGAAATGGTAGAGGTCAACATTTAATTGGACTGTTTCACGGGTCCACGGTAAACTGGTTGCATGGTTGCTATTTGGAGCAGGGTGGGATCGGAAACAACAGCCACACCCACAGTAGTAGTAGTAACAGAAATCACCTCATACAGCCGGCCGCGCAAGACAGCCAGTTATTCCCACCTCCAAAGCCAAGGCAGCTCGTATCCAATGATCGTTTGCCGACAACCTAACCCCCCCCCTCGCCCGACTGGCTGCACTCATTTCAACACAGCCAACTACAGGCAGCAATGGCAACAGTGGCAACAGGACCAACCAGAGACCTAAACAAGAGCAGCAGCGGCGGCGGCGGCGGGCCAACGATCTAACCCTAACACTTAATACGCGTACCACCAGCTGGAAACAACAAGAGCTCCAACTATTTGGCCCAATACTCGTTTTTTCTATCGTTCCTTTGCTCAGCACCGCTCGAAGACCTTGTAAAGCCGCTCAAGACACGCGAGCTGCAGAACGGTACCATCGGCGGCGAAAGCCTGGGGGGGCAGCAGCGCCCACCTGTTGTTTGGGAGTACCGGAGACAAGCGAGCGGGATATATACAGGTGTCTCTTTTACATGGGCGGAAGACCTTGGAGGTGGAAGTGGTGGTGGTGGTGGTCGGTAGCGGGGCAAGACGTGCAACTAGCTTCTTCGTGCAGGCGGGTAGAAACGCGCCTAGCGCTCGGTTGGTGACGAGCACAAATGCAGAGACGCCAAAGCGGGCGTTCACGCTACAGACACACACAGCGTTCCTTTTTCGTTTTTGGCCTCCCCATCAACACACCGGGGTCCTGTCCTGGGTCAGAGAAGACTACACTACAGCAGTAGCACGCGGCGCGATCAAATCCGATGCACCCACACACCCGATAACGGACCTGAAAGCCGGATACAGGACGTTTTGAACCACCGCCGTAGCCTCCGCCGGCGCCAACGCGAACTCCGCCCGCCGTGCCCGCGCCCGCACCCCCCCCCCCCCGCGCCGCCGGGCTTTTCCGGGCCGACCCGTGCCCCACTCCTGCCCCCGCACCCACCGGTGGCGGTGCCGTCGATGCTCCTTCCGCGGTTGCTGCCGCGGCGCCCTGGTATGTGGGAGTCGATGGTGTTGTGGCGGCGGAGGGGAGGGGCGAGCGAGGCGGCGGCGGGAGTGGGGCGGGGGGCACCGCTGTATCCTCGCCGCCCTGGGGGAGGGTGCTGTAGAAAAGGGCCAGCTCCGTGGCGACCCCTTCGAAGCAAGTGCGCTCCTCGGACCAATCCACCTGGGTGGGGGGCACAGCAGGAGGCAGCAGACTAATTCGTTATTGGATGTATTGTGGTTTTCCTATCTATTGCCCGGAGGGGGCGTACTCTCATGCTTTCCACGCCTTAGAGGCCAGACCATTGACCACGCGTCCTCGAGAGCATTGTTCCCACAGGACCTATCACCCATGACCAATCGTTCCTTCCTACTTTGCCTACTTGGCTCAAAAAATGTTTCCCTATCCTATATATCCTATCGACATCAGATCCGGAGACGGGGGGGGGGTGCTTCCAAATCAAGCCGCCGTATCTACTCACCAATCTCGCTATGATGGTAAAGATTTTCTGATGGGTGAAGATTTTCCGCTACCCATGGACCCCTCGATGCAACACGCAGGGGAGAAACGCCGCAACCTTCATCCGTTTATAAACCGGGAAGAAATCGTTTCGCCGTACATAGCATGCCAGCTTGAACCCAACAACTGACAGACACTTGGAGCGGCATCACCAGCAGCCTCTTCCTACTGAACCGACAAAATCCCAATTGTCCACGATTCAACAACAGCAGTGTGAGTACCAGCGAGCGCCTTACCTCTATCGCAAGGCGGAGGAGGAACACCGGCAGCCCTTCCCCTACCGGTGTGTGCCCCTCGAGCAGCAGGGGTAGCGATGAGATGCAAAGGGCCTGCGCCTCCTCTCCATCTTCTTGTGCAGCATCACTACCAGCGGTGCCGTTTGCCCCCCTCTCCTCCCCGCCCTTGCCCTCAACGGAGTCATCGTCGTTGGCGGTGGCGGCGACGCTTCGTCGCGAGAGGCTGATCATGAAGTACTCGTCCAAAAGCGCAGCCTTTTCTTCGAGAAGCTTGACCGCGTCCTGGTATTGCGCCGACGACATCAAGCGGCATGAGAGAGAGACAGACAGACAGAGAGAGAGGAAGGGAGAGAGACAGAGAGAGAAGGAGGGAGAGAGACAGAGAGAGAAGGAGGGAGAGAGACAGAGAGAGACGGAGAAGAAGGATAGAGATCAAATGCATGGAACAGGAATACCGCAGTCGATGTTGTTGTGTAACCCCACAAACAAAATTGTAAGAAAGAGGGTCAGCACGAATTCCTGTATGGCGCATCCTCTATATGTACAACAACACACCTGCGCAAGGTCGTCCTTATCCCCGTCCATGGCCGTCCAGGCCGCCTCAGGCAGATCGAAAGCAGCGCGGATGAGGGGAAGCACCGGCAACGGAATCGCCAGGGGCAGCCGAGGCATGGCGCCGAATCTCCGGAGAGTCATCTGGAAAAACGCCTCCTTGCTGAAAAAAAACGTGGCGTAACCGTGGGGGGGGGAGGGGGGGGGGGGGGGGTTTATCCTTGAGCGGTTCGCTGCCTGGGGGGCTAAACCAAGACCCCCCCCTGCCCGAAAGGACGGACCAGTGTTACCCCGCGGACCAAGACCCCATGGTAAACGGTTCCTTGCGACCTGGACGGAGGAGGCTAAAAAATGCGGTTGACCATGCGTGTCACCCCACAAGCCCCCCCCCCCCTT